TGGTGCCAGAGTGCCCTCTTCCAGAAATCCTGAGGAATAACAAGGCTCCTCTACTTTTAGTTACAAATATAACATTAACCAAAAAAAAAAAAAAAAAAAAAAAGGGATGCTGTGGCTCTACCTAAACTAATGCCCATCTACATAATCTATGTAGATGCGGGTAGAAGTGGCTTGCTAAAATGATGATGATGAAAATGATGAAAATGGTGCATCACAGCAAAGTCTTTTGGAATCTGCATTTGAAGATTAGAGGTTTGGGGAATGCCATCTACCTGCTGTGGTTTTACCCTTCTTGCTCCCTGAGARGTTTTTGCCTCCTCTACCACACTCAGTTTTGGACAATTATGGAGCCAGCCCAATGTCTCTGCTGCAGGGACAGCAACACTCGGTGGAGATGCTGGGTGGACGGCTGGTGGGCAGAGGACTATGGAGGGACTATGATGCTCTCTTATCCTGTGTTTATTGGGTCAGCAACAAACAAGCTCCGAACAGATGGTTTGGTCTCTGTGCTGTGCTTGAGCTGTGGTTTCATGTGTGAATTCAGGCCAGCAGCCACCTGTATACAGCATTTTTTCAGGTTTTTTCTTTACCCATCCAAAGCCAGAGTAGATTTTGAAAAGGACGTACTGTCTACATTGGGGGGGCTGTAGACAAACCTATATTAAAGGGAAATGTGACAGAAACACACTGGCTTTGATTCTTTCCAGGGAGGTCCCAACCCAGATGGTTCATTCAGAACAGTAAAACTAGAGTTAAGGCAAGGCAAGAAAATCACACAGCCCTATTTTTTTAATGCATTGTTCTTATTTTGATCAGCCCTCTTATTATGGTATGTGAGATATTTCCAAATCTTTCTTTTTTAGACTGAGCTAAATTCTTAATGTATTTTTATGATGAACTCTTGCTCTCTCTTACATCTTTTCTCTCAGAGAAGAGATATCCCAACTCAGTAGCTGCTTGTTATTGGTGCCAGTACTGGAAGGTATCTTGGTAATATGTAGCAGCTCTTCAGCTGCTGGAAAGTATGAAGGCTCCTGTAAAGAATCTTACAGCACTTAAATAACTTGCTGAATGAAAGCCTCCACATGTGATAAGCACTGTACTTTGCAGAAAGGAAGGCTAAGGCAGAGTGTGGGACAAAATGTGCCCAAGAATGCATAGCAAGTGAAGGGCACAGCAGAGAACACAACCCAGCTGTTTGGTCCAAGGCTTCCTCTTTACATGACACATTTATCATTTTAGGCCATAGCAGCAACCACGTTGGGAATGTGACCCATGGCTACATGGCCACTATGGGTCCAGTCTTCCTGCTCTGTGACTGGCAATGCCACCTGCAGCTCCTGGGCTCTGACGGAGCAGCCTGAGACAGCAACATGCCACTGATGACCACAAGTGTGCAYTAATGTATCCATAATACAGCTGAGTTGGGAGAGCACCAACTGAGAAGCAATGTTGCATCCCATAGGGACAAGAGGAGAACTGATGTCTTCTCCATGGGAACCTCATTGGTCARTAGATATCAAGTGGTTTGGAAAGGTCAAAGTATTGTAGTTAGGTCACTTGCCTGAACTAGCAGCAGAGCCTAAATTACGCAAGTTTTGAAGAGGCACTTATTGCTATCAGTAAATAGGTGATAATGTGGGTCCCTATTTRGCTGCATGCAGATGTGAACAAGCAAGCAAAGCTGTGCCCTAGTACAGAGGGTACTCTGGTTTTATTTYGTTTCTAATGCTGGTGCTGGTACTCCACTAAGGCAAGCTTAGCCCTGCTCTAATTCTGATAGCACTGTTTCTGGGTACTTTTGGCAGGATGGGGCAGAGAAGAAGAGCAAATTCTTGGTGTAGCAACCACCAGAGGTGTGTGCTGGGCAAGAGTGGCATTGGAACAGGCTGTCCTGAGAAGTCACCATCCATGGGAGTGTTCAAGAAATGTGTAGATGAGGCACTTAGGGATATGGTTTAGCAGGCATGATGGTGATGGGTTTATGGTTGGACTTGATGATCTTGAAGGTCTTTTCCAACCATAATGATTCTATGATGAAGGCCAAGCCACCACGAGGGAGACACATCACAGACCAGCATAACATGGACATTAGAGCTTCCAAGGACTTAACTCTTCAGTTCCAGAATTATTTTTAATAATTCTGACCTGGTTACATACTTCCAGAAACCTGGGGGCTGCAAAAGAGCAAAGACAGGGAGCTTTCCCATGATTTGAAAATAATTACTAGATGTGGTGGTGAACACCTGACCTTCTTATCCCCACCCATCCCATGTTTGCCTTGTCCTCTAGCCTTTAGAATGTGGATGACACTTTTTTGTCTTGGTTCAAATACATTAGACGTTTCTTCAAGGCCAGATTTAGGTTCTCCTGTAAGTTTGCAGCAGGCTTGTGTTGCCACAGGGCAGCTGAAGGAAGCCAACTTCCCCCAGCCCAGGAACAAGGCCAAGCTCTGCCCTGCTGCCTGCGGCCTGCTGGTTGTGCCAAGGATTTTTCAACTGCAGGGGCCAGGTAATTCCTGGCAGTGCTGGCAACTGGCCTCCTGCCTATTTGCAGCAGTACTTTAAGGCAGCCCACCCATGCTCATGCAGGGCACATCTGCAAGGAGAGCCCTATGCAGAATTTCCATGAAATGGCCTTCTTCCAGGATTTATTTATAGATGAGTCAAAAAGTGACAGCCCTGCCCCCTCCACATACTTCATCTTAGATGCCAAGGTAGGAATGAATGTCTTGTGTGGTGAAGCACCTCTAAGAAAAACAGTACTTATGAAAGTACTGGAAAAACAGGGGTAAAAGAAGTAGCCATTAAGTGACAGAACTGGATTTCATGCTATGACATTACTTTAGCTCTGCCTCTTTGCTAGGCACCCAGCAAACAACTGTAARCCAATAAAGACAAGTAAATTCCTCCAGGAAAACGTTGAGGTATCTAGTATGTGCTTGCTGCCCACCGACACAGCAGTGTCAGTGAACACACATGCATGCCAAGCCACRCACATGCACAAGCAGAGCCTGTGCAAGGTTACGGCCATTGCTGCAGAGCGAGAGCACATGGGTGAAAAGAGAAAAGCCTTCACACAACTGGGACCCACCTCCGCTGCAGGGAAGTACCCTAAGGATCCAGCCCAAGGGGTGCCTGCTCAGACTCTGTAGAGACCTACTGTCAAACACATTGTGCTATCTGCCACCAGGGACCTTGCTGCATGTTAGGTGCCGCTCATCTGCATGTTTTCTCCTTTCCAGTGTACTGTGTGGATGAGAAGCTGGTTGTCACATTTGTGCACAGAGCCAGGTTGCTTCCTGGGACTCCTGCACCTGCCTTTGGGCCAGAGTGAYAGAGGGAGTAGCTGGATCTGGAAACAGCTGAGATCCTGGATGGATCCCGGATATCCCTCCTGCCACAGTCCAGGGCTATGCTGGCAGTCCTGCATGGGATTGGCTGCACTCACAGGCTGAGGTTATGGTGAAGGAGACACATGTGAGGCTGCGGGAACTGCCCACGTGGCATAAAACGGGGCACCAGCGTCAGCCTCATTTCCTAAAGCATCACTAGTGCGTCACACAGTTTTGAATAGCTCCATTAGGTAMATGGAAAACAGGGCAGCAATTACCTGGCCTCGTACCGAGCCAAGGGCGGCCTGCCTGCCTGCCTGCCTGCCGTTGGTCGGCAGCAAGGAACAGAGCCATAACCCTCTGCAGGGGAGCTTCCTTTCTGGCCTGCAGCTTCTGGCTCAAGCAGGCTTTTAGCTCATCCTATCTGCCTCTCTACCTTCATACCACCAGSTAAGTAGGCCCTGATGTATCTGCATGAAAATAATTCAGGCCGTGATCTTCTCAAGCTGAGAAACTGCAGGTTGGCAGGGAAGAGGGAGCTTTAAAATTAGATTCYCCCAATTTTAAGCAGTAACTGTGTCCCCAGTCACCTGAGATCCCTCCCCAAAGCAGGCACAGAGGTGCTTCTGCAGAACTGAGACGGAGAGAGGGTTTTTCAGAGCGTGCCCTCTGCTTCTCAGTCTGTTGCCAAATGTGGGTGCCTCACAGCTCTGGGAATACCGGGATGTTTCTCTCCTTCTGCACTTTAATCTTAAAAAAAAAAAAAAAAAAAAAAAAAAAAAAAAACCTATGTGTGTACTCAGCAATTAAGACCCTGGAAGCTGCTTGCTGTACTCATCAAAGAAAAGGAAGTGTCAACAACTTCCTCTTCCAACCGCTTCTGTAATCAAAGCGCTCTGTGCTTCGGTGGTTGCTGCCCATTCCCTCCCACCCTGCGCACAGCCCATGGATCACCAGCCCAGGGGGGCAGATTACTGCCCACACCCTCACCGGTTTAGACTTTCACACACCTACACCAGCACCCTTGCTTCCCTTGCGCAAGGCAGGGCGCAGCACAGACTCGACGCAGGCCCGTGCGGACACCGGCTTTCTCCTCCCGTTCGCTGTGGTGAGGCCCTCGCAGCCGGAGAGGGGAAGGGACGTGGCCACTGGATGCTCCTCGTACGGCTTTCTTCTAGCCTTGCCCTAACACTGTCTATGCTGACATCCCAATTATAGGTGCTTCAAGAAATTAATCTTGTAACTGAAAAAAAAAAAGAAGTTGTTTGAATTACCATGTATTTTAATGAAGCAGCCCCTCTCCCACCTCCAAAGCCTGTTGCTCACTGCAATAACTGCACCAGAAACAAAACAAAACAATGCATGTACCTGGCAAAAAGCATTGGTGCTACAGTAAGAGCGAGATACGGGCTCCCAGGCACTATAAATCAGCAGGGCCTTGATGAGCGTACAGCAACTGATACTCATCGTCTAACACTGCTCTTCCCCTCCAGCTTTTGCACAGAAAAACACAAAGAACACAGAAACACCATTTAGCTTGCTGACATAATGCCCATATTTAATCTTTTAAAACAAGAATAAAATCAAGAATAAAAATCATTTAAGTCATACAGTACATTATATTAATCTTTCAGCAATGACCCAATCTACAGTACTCAAATGCCTGGCAAGAAGTCTATTATCTCAGCATTTAACAAGTGTATAACCAGTGACACAGTAAAAGAAGAGCTCACGATACATGGCTAATACAATGAGTTTAGATTTTAAAAGTCCAGCTAGGGTTTTTAGTGTATGGGTCACTTTTAAACACTACTTTAATCAACCTTTTTTGTTCAGTCAATCTGTTTGGGGCTTTGTTATATAGGAGTTTCTTTCATTATGTACAGGAAGATTTATTTCAAATGAAATTGCACAAGTTAGAGTATCTATCTATAGGCATACATAGTCAATCTAACTAAAATTCAGTAAGCAGTAATTACTCAGTCCTGGTTATACATTCCTAAAGGCTTAATAATACAATTTTAAAAGGAAAAAATAAAAAAAAAAACACGGTTGTAGGGTGGCATCCTCTGCAAAAAGCCTCTTCTCCTCCTCTTCCCAAAGAACCAAGGCTTAGGTTTACTTTCCACATTTGAAATGGGGTCTACAAAGAAGACATCTCAGCTCTCAGGTAATACAAAACATGTGACTGTGCCCTTTCTCAACCCTGAATGGTTCAATGCAGAATTCAGTGAAGCTCTCATACAGCTAATACTGGCAGAATACAGATCACTAACGTGAGTTAGGACAATATGCCCTGGTAACATATTCAGATAGCAGAAGTGTAGGTTTTGGGGGCCGTTATCCGGTGGTTGAAGTAGCTCCAAGGAGGACAAGGCTCCCTGCAGCAGCTGAGAAGCACGGGCAGGGCTCTGCTCTCCTGCTCCTTGGCCCAGGCCAGAGCTGCATCTTCCCCAGCTCCCTTTCACTTGCCCCCTGCCCCCTCCTGCTCCCTGCACTGCGGGCATTGCTCCTTACTGCTTCCCAGCAGGAAGGCTCCCAGCCAGAAGATGACCGGGCTGTGGGGAGGCTGCAGGGGGGCTTCTCCAGACACTTGCAGGCAGCACTGCGGCTACTCAACCTTGGGCGCAGGCAGGGGACTCTCACTGACGTGCTGCTGCTCCAGACTTACTCCTACAACACGAGCAGGAGGTCTGCAGTCGGGCAGCTTTGTGGCTTGTGGCCTTAACTACTGCATAAATTTATATGCAGTAACAAATGGAGACGTTTCTCCACAGAGTCATTAGTGTTACCAGACGCTAAGAGCTAGAGGGCTACCTCTAAGGCAAAGCTAAAGCTTAACACCAGGGTAATGGAACATCATCGAACATCATCTTCCTGCATTAGCAAAACGAACATAACTAGCTCGAGCACAACTGCTTTGGCTTTTTCAGTCTGTCTTTTCTGGTGCCAGGTCCTGCTACAAATGGAAAGGAAGAAAACAAAACAAACAAACAAAAAAACAGAGAATCGTTTTCCTAGATGAAAAAGCAGCAGAATCTTAGAACTTGAGGATCTGCTTTGTAATTTGCTACTGGCATAAACAAAACAAAAAAGTCCCATTTGTTTAGTCTTTTTTTTTTTTTTTTTAAATAAAAAATCCAGATCATCCAGTGAACYTTCTCTACACATACACACACATGCACACAGACACACAGGACACACAGTAGTGGAGAGCTCCAGAAGAACAGGCATGGAAACCACAAAGTCCAAATTGTGAAGAGACATAGGGAATCTCACATTTTTGTGTCAGATTCTCATGTAGCAATGAGGCAGCAAAGTGATGCATTGTAAGAAATAAATGGTCACGGCACACACATACACCCAAATGCAATCATGGATACATTTTTCCCGTATTTTTTTCTGATAGATGCTGTTATTCATCTAGTAGTTTCTTCTTGGCTGTGCTGAAATTTCCAAAGAGCATCTGGTGCTTCTTTATCCATTATGATAACGTAAGAATCTCAGTGGCAGTGAACAACCAATCTGATATCACGAACAACAACTTCCACTTCAGATTCTCTATGAGCTGTTTTGAAAGTTGAATCTGACTCTGCTCCTGTGGTGCCACTCTATTTTTTAAATTAACAAACACAGCATATTAATGCAAATTTGATGTCTCCTAAAAATTAGAAATGGTCAGATAATTAGTTCAGCAATACGCAAAGTGCATCTATTTGGTTCTTTCCATAGATCACCTTTTTTTGTAAGTTTGAATTCCTTCACAGTTTAAAATATTGTGAAGAAATTATATGTATACTTTATGTATAGAGCTATTTATATACATACACATATATACACACAACTCTGTACTTTATATAGTCATAAACACCCATTACGTAGCTATTTATACTATATACACATGGCATGAACACACAYGCGCACACACACACTCTCTCAGTGAAGAGTTGGTGTAGGCTGAAATCATTCCACCGGGTTTAATGAAATAACCATGAGTTAAGAGACACAGACGCACATCTATTCGGTAAGCTAAAGACCAATTAAAACAGCTCTTCCATCTTCCTATTAACACAGCATTGTTCCCACCCCGTTCCATGTGCACATACGCAGCTACTCTGCACCCAGGTACTTCAGAGGGCAGAGGTGGTTCTTTTTCTCCAAGTGAAAATACAGCCAGCGCTGACCCAGGCTCCTCGCGAGCTCCTCTGCTGCAGCACAGCTGGATGTGGACATGGCCGAGGACGCCGAACGCGGCGCTGCCGTTAGCTGAAAGCACCTGCTGAAGTGTTATTGCCAGGCTAGGAACGGCTATCGGGTGCTCACAGCCTGTGAACTCTCTCTCTCTCTCTTTCCCCAACAAGTGGTACAATTGTATAAATACATATTTTAGCACAAAACAGTTTAACACGAGGCAAGTCCAGGTACGAGTGAGACCTAAAGGCCTATGGGTGAACCTTGAAGGCCAGGAGTTCTTCAGAGTGCATGTTGTTCAAGGAACGCAAGTCAGGTAACTTCAAAAGAAGTTTTGTGAAAATAGAGGCTTCATTTGGGTGGTTTTTCATGATTAAGGTCCTTAAAGCGCGGATTAGTGTCTCCTGAAGCGCCTCCACGGAATTGACATTTTCTATTCCGGATCGATCTAAAGAAAAAAGAATAAGGGGAAGGGGATGGGAGAACGGACTAAACAGATGTAGTTTTCAGTATTTTCAACAGAAATTAAAGAATTTGAAAAAAAAATTAAAAAAAAAGAATTAACTAAAAAAAACACTAAGGATTAAAAAAAAACTAGCAAAAAAAAAAAAAAAAAAGACTTATATCAGAAGCTCCAAACCCATATATATGAACTCTTACCCATTATTCCAACTTTCTACAGTATTAAGCTCTTGTTGAGTTCTGAACTGGCAGCACTCAGTCACTCTTTTTTTTCAGTCACTCATGTTTCCAGAAAAGGCCAGATTGAAGCATGTATTTAACTGCTCGGCTGAACTACAGCTTTCAAAACAGGTAGAGAACACGGACACTTTGGAGTGAGCATTTCAAACATTTTTCAAGGCTGGATGTAGACCAAACAGCCCCCCACTCTAACCTGCTGGACCCCTGTGGGGCAAGGGAACATGAGCCTTCCCAGGGCTAACGCAATCTTTAAACATTCTTATCAAGCATTGACAAAATTTAATTTCAGAAGGGAATTTGGAGGGGGTATATCATTCTCAAATGAAGGGGAAAAAAGTTTCAATATCAAGAAAAATGCTGTACTTTCACACACTGCAGTTACTCCATGCAACATAGCTAGTAAGAAAGCTGTATTAAGCATGTACCTGTTTTCTTTAGGCAGAGCCAAAGTAAGTAGCTTAAAAAGACAGATTTTTAAACAAGATATATCACCTAATGATGATGTACAGCAGTGTGTATGTATGTATGTGTGTGTGTGTTTGTGTGTGTGTGTCCCTTTTTAAGCTGCTGTCTAGTCTCCCTTCTCAAACTCCATGCAAATTCAGCACGGCCTGCACGTGCCCAAGTGACTGATGCGAAGCGCAACGTGCTTTGATGTGAACAGGTACTTAAGCACTTTGCAGAAGTGGGACATGCAATGACAGCAGCTCTCTGGGGTAGCACAGAGCCGGTTCCTACAGGCAGGCTGGGASTCCCTTCCTTCTGCTGTCAGTGTAAATCTGATCAGACTACTCAGGTGAACAGCATCTAGAAAGTCCTCCTGGAGCATTCCTTGTAATTTCCCATCTTTATGGGAAAAGATCTGTAAAAATGTCCCAAAACATTTTTTGTTTTTTTTCTTTTTGTCTTTTTTTTTTTTTTTTTAACTGCAGAAAGACTGCTCCAGAACATTTTTGCCCTAACAAGTAGGAACTTTAGTCAATATCAATCCATATTTAGCAACACRGGTGTTTATTGCTCTGTGAACACTGTCCACTAGGCCTGAGAAAAGGGCTGTTCTCCTTCTCTGGGTGTTTGCATTCAATTCATGTATCAAGAATAGAGAGAACCTAAGAGACAGACAGGAGAAGGAGGTTCCCAGACTTCACCTGCCATCCCCTAAACATCTTTTCAGTTTTATTCTACCCTGAACAGGGGCTGACCAGATCTGCACAGAGTACGTGAGAAAAGGTCTCTCAAGGACTCATGAGTACAAAGACAGTGATACTTCCTTGACTCTTTTGCAAGAGAAATGCAATCCTAAAAGTCTATTTTGACTGCRTTGTGGGGGCCTCCTCTGCTCAGTAAATCCAAATATTTCTTTTCCATCTCATATTACTTCTGGCTGTTTCCAGTGCCCAGCTGAAATCTTTGTTATTACCATTCAACTAATGGAAAATAAAATGTGAGGAATTTGGGGTGTTTTTTGTGTGTTTTTTTGTTTGTTGCTGTTTTTTTTTTAAATCTTGCAATCACACAGCATCATCCTCCGCTTGGTAAGAGGGTCTTGTCTCTAGACCTGCAGAAAGAGCCTTCTTTTGGTTTTGTTTCCACCTGGCTTCCTCCTTCACATGCCAGTGTCCATGCCGCATCTTGCCCTTTCCTCTCCATACTGAACACTTCCAATTAAATGAAACCAGAGTGTTCATTTAGCTTTGGAGTGGCACCAAGGTAATTCCACACAACCACCAGAAACACCTCTACGTACTCATTGTGTGGCCCTGTTTCCTCTTTCCTTATGACAGAGTAAGAGGGTCTGCAGGGACTATACTCATTCTTCACTGCTACCATGCTTAGTCTGAACACTGCACATTCTGAATATGTTAGTGTTGAAATATTAAMCCCCCACATTCTTACACATTTTTAGGACCAATGAGGTTGTGCTTTGTGAAACTCTAGAAGTATTTTCACAAGAAGGAAGCAGACCAATTGCACAGGAAGCTAAGTCACACAGCACTTATGCCCAAAGCAGTGATGTGAAAAACCTCGCTGAGCAGCTGCAAGATGCCCAAATACCAAACACCTCCTCTTTTGGCCTGCTCCCCAGCCCTGATGCTGCGTTATGCTTGCCTAGAACTGCCCACGCTGTGGACCATCTCCAAGATAAACCCTAGGGGGATCCAGCAGCAACACGGAACAGGCCATACAGGGCCCGGGGTGCTTGCCACACTGCTGGCCCCGCRCACGCTCAGCAGAGCACACACAGCCACTTACGTTTGAAGGAGGGGTTGGGATATTCTTGGGCCCAGCAGCTGGACAAACTAGAAGCGTGGCTGTAGCCTAGTTAGGACATTGCACAAGCAGGGAAGAGACCTGGTGGGTGTTTTAGTCCTGGTTTTAAAGGTCCTCTGGTTCTCATCGTTTTTTTTTTCCTTGACAGTTTTGTTTGTTAGAATATGTAGAGTCTGGAATAGAGACTAAAACTCCCCACTCCTCTCTGCTACTGAAACGTTGTCACTAACAGTGCCATGCTTCAYGCTGCCATTCCTTCCGGCTTTTGAGCTTGCCAGCCGGGCACCTCCCCTCTCCTTTCCACTGCTTACACATTTGAGAGGCTTCAGCTGCTCCATCCTGCACTATCAAGTTTCAGGTGGCCCTGCACAAAGCTCCGGGGCTGAGTTGTCCTACCTTGTTTACAGAAGCTTCAAGTGTTTGTAGCCTCTTGCCTGGGTGTCCTCCCTTGGGAGGCAGACAAGGCTCTCAGCCATTTATGCTGAGGGATGTGGAGCCAAACACTGGCTCACTGCCTGGGGAACAGGAACCACCACCACTCCTGCTTGCTACCTTTAGGGAACTCCACATCCAGCAAGCAGGGATTCCACACCTTGTATTCCATGCATTATAAACAGAGCTAACGTGCATAATTTGGGCTTTAGATAACACTAGAGAAGTAGGTGCTTAATCCTTCTCTGAACCTGGGCCAGGGTGCTCTGTATTTCCAGGGACTGAAACAAGATAGGAGGCCGATGAAGATGTTAACAGACGGGTAGACATTTCAGCGTAAGCAGTTATGATGCCCATGAAAAGGCTGTCGCTGAGGAGAGGAAACTCCAAATTGCTGGATTTAAAGTTAAACAGGATATGCAATAGGCTTCAGTGACGACATCTGGAAGCAGAATTATCACCTAAAGACTCAGGCTCTGTAAGTCAAGCGATTTCATCGACACTGTCCTGTGAAACTTTCACGAGTCAGGGAAGAGTCAGGAAAAGGGCTTCTAAAGAGCTACTGGGCACTAGGCTTCATCCTTCCTCAATTTCCACCCAGTCTCTCAAATGCGAGGGAGAAAAAACACCCTCAGAACCCCAGACTTTTCTACTCTTTAATGTATTTTTGAATTCCATAAAATTTTAAGAAAATCCCTTTACCGTGTTTTTCCTGAAGACAATATTAGATAGAATATATAAAAAATAAATTACAGGCTGCTAGTAGCTTGAAAGCTGCTAAACTGGATTTAGTCTTGAACCACAAAAATAAACTTTCACAGAAATCTTTTGATACAGACACACAGCCAAAATTTAGCATAACTGTAGATAACTTTCTCTCCTTACCAGCAGATACCAGAACAACTGCTGTGAACAAACTCATTTCCTCGTCACTAAGTTGCAGGGCATTTAGTTTCTCACTGAATTCGAACATGGAATTGAGCAGATCACCAGCTCCCATTGAATGCAAGTCATCCACGCTGTACTTCTTTCCACTGAGGAAGGTGACGGTACGTTCCTTTGCATCAAATAAAGATGCAAATCGTACCATTAAAACCTGGTGAAAGGAGAGAAAAAAAAAGAAAAAGGGAAAGTAATATAAGCGGACTTCTAGAAAATCAAAGAGAAGAGAAAGCAATTTAACATCATTCAAACTGGCTTATTCTTATTACCCACTGTACAAGCATTTTGTATAGAAATGTCAGCATGCTATTGAGCTGTGAAAAAAACCAATGCAAGCTCTGCCTCAGTATTCTACGTGAAACGAGTAAACAACAACAACAACAAAAAAAATCAAGGAATGGATGCAGGGGAGGAGCTTTAGCRCATGAAAGGCAGGAAAATGAAAATTTAAGCCTGACAGCCTCAGCCACGACGAGTGCCATTCATAAATATGCCAGCAGGACAACTTGCTTAAGCCACTGTGCAGCCAAAGGCATAAAGGGCATTACAAGAAATATTTCCTTGGCCAAGAGCAGCAAAATAAAGGTATTAAACCAGATTCTTGCTTGGTGTAAACTGGAGTAGTTCCACTGAACCAATGCTGATTTACACCACCCGCTGATCTGGCCCAGCAAGCGTTCTTTGGAGGAGGCCCATGCCACATTGCTCTTTCCACAGGAATGTTAATGCACTCAGGGAGAAGGGAGCCACAAGAATGGCCTTCAAAAGGCCAGGGCAGCAGGGTTTGAAATGGCACCTGCTCTGCAGCTGCAGCTGGGAACACCCCTTTGATATAAGCACCTGGGCTGGAGCAGTTGAGATGTGCTGAACTTACCCCTCTAGGCTGAAATTTCTCTTGTGGTTTCTCAGCCGTATTGTGAAATGTTTCCCTGTGGAATGGCTTGTAAAGTTTCATTTGCTCGTGTTCAACAACCTTATTTACATTTTTCCAGGTTTAAGTTGCACACAGCAGCCTTCTTATTTGGAGAAAATGAACCAACTGGTATTGGCTAAAACGTCAGACTTGCTGTACCCTCTCGGTGTGACAGTCTTCTCACTTACCCTACATAACTACATTAATTTAAATGGCATTTATTACAGATGAGAGGAGAAACAGATTTTCAGCAAAGACTAGTGCCTTTGACAAGCTTAAGGAAGGAGGGTTCAGGAAAAAAAAATGTTTAAGAATTCAAATACCATTCATGCACATTACATGACCTGCTGCTAAATTTAAACAGCCAAATGACATGCAGCAATCTGGATGAACACATGAGCACTATATATTATTCACTTTTGTTACCTAAGCTCTATGTCCTCTGATGACACTTGCTACCATGTGCAGAAAACTAGGGACTAGGGAAGCCCTCAGAACACAACCATATGAGCCTGAACAGGCAAGCAGAGCTCAAGCTGCTCTTGTGCATCTGCAGGGACCATCCAGGTACCACACAACGTTCAGGCTCAATTGCTGAGCCCTTTATAGTACTGCATTTTAGCAGCGAGGAGTCACTAACTTGAAATAATGAGCTGTATGTTCTGGGCAACCCAGCATTAACACTGTTGTCCGAAACWGAAACCCAGGAAGCTGCACTGATTTAGGCTGGGCAGAAACCTAGCCCATAGCTTTTAATGTTAACATTTCTGTCCAAGAAAGAGTAGCTCAGATGATGGTTACAGCATGTAATTCTTCCTGTTTCACTTCAAGCAAGATTCCTGTTTGTGCATGCTGAGGATGCGGCTGAACATTCCCATCATTTGACCACAGCAAAGCAAGTGCACAAAAATTCCACACAGACAAGTGCTCACTCACTTCCCCACCACCTGCAGCCAAATTATCAAGCTCACGAGTCTGTGCATAAATCGAGTCACTAGCCCAGCAGATTCAAGGGGCTACCCTTGAATCCCACCACTACATTCTGAAGGGGACAAGCAGCTCCGTTCCACATGGGTCCTTTGGTTTGGGCTCAGTGCTACTTCTGCACTGGCCTTGTGAAAAGCAACACAAGGTCTGAGCAGACTCCTCAGCTTGCCTACGTGCGAGAACATATATCTATATGTTGTGGTATATCTATGCGTGGTGTGAGAACATGTATCTACAGGTATGGTGTTTCGGAAGCCCCCTGGTGTCCAGGCACCCACCCAGGACGGCTCCCCAGCAGCAGCCCCCGCGCACGGGAGCTGCCGGGACAGCCCCACGTCGCGAGCAGCCCCACGGCAGCGCTGCCACCCACGCATCGGTGACGTGCAGGTGTCCGGGCACCCCAGCTCAGTTACCCAGAAGACAGAAATGACCTTGTAGACAGCAGGCTTTGAAGATATTTTTCCTCTACTGAAATGGTTAGTCCTCGTTTTCATTCCTTGCTCTCTTTGCTCTAATTGCTCTGCATTATCTCTCTCTTTTTTTTTTTTTTTTTTCTTCCAGTTACTAAGACACCATACAGGCCTTGAACTACAGGTACCAGTTCACTAATATAAATTGTTATTAGTGTTCCTCATAGATAAGGGAATAGGAATAAGCATATAGCTAGACATTATTATTAATTCCCCTGGATATGGAAACCTTTCAATCAGTGGTACCTGTGACCAGAAAAAAAAAAGGGAAAAAAAGGGCATATGAACGAGGCTAAAGCTTCAGGTACAGAAATGCCAAGACAGAACATTCTACTTGACAAYATGAGAGTGTGGCTGTAAGCCAGGTGAGTGGCTCAAGCAAGGCTTTCAACCCTCCTCAGAGCACATAGGACTGTGCCTCTGCACGGGAGATGGAATCAACAGCTTTGTATAATGTGAACAGCAGCTTAAGAGAGTGAGACTCCAGGCCTAATAGAAGCCTCAGCTAAGGAATAGTTCTACACAAATATAAAAAGGTCAAAAATAAGCAAAAATATGTAACAGCAAAATGGAAGGAGGAATGGTAAAACCCATTCAAGGCAGCTTATTTAAATCTTAATAATRTAAGTTGCACCTTCCAGCCCAACAATTATCCATTTTAGAACTAGACTTTATAAATGCAGATATGAGGCCCAACACACTATAAGAGAAACATCCTCAAGGGCAAATGCAAAATCTAGCAGGATAACTTGAATTCTTGAGACTTCATCTCCTCTGCCCCTCTAGATTTAAATTTCACATTTGGACACTTATAAAACATGCACGTGGTCTCCAACAGATGAGAACAGGTCTTCAAGCCAAGGTCAGCTGGTGAAGGTCACCAACTGTAACACAGCACAGAGCATCCTGGCAGCACTGCCAGTTGAGCATCACTAGCTCACGTGCATGTCAGGACTGCAAGGGGGTGGCATTAATCGTGGGGCCCTGGTGGGGTGAGGGGTGGCCTGGTGGGCTGTGGGCGGTCACAGCATGCGTGGGGCTCAGCWGCACAGCTGGGATCAGCATCGCTGCACTGCGGAGGGGGAGGCTGCACCGGGCCCCGCTGCCACCAGGGGCAGCACTGCTCCGGCTCAGTGCTCTGGCAAGGGACACGGCTGCAGGTGGGACACACGCAGCGATAAAACAGGTATCTCTAGAGGATGGTGAGTTAGCAGGCAGCTTTGTGAAGCCACCCACCCTTGCAGGTGCGAGGCGGCAGCTATCAAAACAACGGCCGAGATAGGAAACAAGCAATTCCTCATCAGTCACTTAACCCCTMCCAGACAGCAGGGGCAGGTCAAGGACAATACCACCTAGGAGTGAGCCGGGCACCTCACCGGACACAAAATCTGACCAAAAGCCCTTGCCCCTGTGAGCTAAAGGGGCGCTTGGAGCTGGCGCCCACGAACGAGCCRCCAGGGCCCAGAACAACCTGCTGCTCTTCAGTGCTGTCCCCAAGGGGCTGCGATGCTGCAGTTTGCAGATAGACACGCGGGGGTCTCACCTCAAAGGTGCCAGCCTTCAGCAGGTTAACCTGATCGTGCTGGGAGAGGTCTCGGAAGCCCGGGATGCGCTTGGCAAACTCCACCACTTCCTTCACTGCAGGGGTGAAGCTCAGCGAAAACTCTTCCCAGACTTCATGGCCAGACTTGTTTGGGTCCACAAAAGGAGTCTTACTCATTGGACACACCTAATGTTTTCAAAATACAGACAGAACACAACACTTACACATTTCAAATACTGAAATACTGACAAATATTTCAAAGAAAAATGTTTATTCTTGAAGAAAACTTTGCAATAACAACATACAAGCAATATTCCTCAGTCAATTCCCAAATCAACTGGATTTTTCTTTTTGCTGTTGCTGTTAAAAAAAATCCATTACCAGCCTGTTGAAACTGCAGCACTGTTTGAAATAAAATGTACTTGAGACAATCTAAAGCAATGTGATTCTTCCCCGATCCTACTCCTGTTTGATGCTTGAATTTCTCTTACCTGTGTTATCCCCGTAATCTCACAATTATTTGTGATTTCACAATCAATTGCCTGCAATCTCACAATCTCTACCACACAAGATCTCATAGATCTTTCTTGTTTTGCAGGCATGTCAGGTGTTTTAGTCAATGTAACAGACGTCAGCATTAGAGCAAGAAATTGAACCTATGTCTCCTGAGTCACGGGTCCACGCCCTCATTACCAGACCAATCTTCCTTTCCTAGGTATTTGTATTTTTTTTTTATTATTATTACTGTTTGTTTTGTCTATCTTTTTTAATTAGAAAAGCAAGATTAAAAATTTGGTATTTCATTTTTGTCCACAAACAGTCAGCAGATGATAAAATGCTTGTTCCTTAATACAAACATAGAGCATCTTTGTGAACGAGATGCCCAAATCCATTACAACAGAATCTYGATCATTGGGGGAAAAAATAATAAATAAAAATAATAATTAAAAAATCAGCCATATGAGTAAGGGCCGCCAGTAAACTCACACTACAAAAAAAAACACTCAGATACTTTCAGTTCCACTTTCTAAAATGAGGTATTAATGACGGATAAACCTTTTCACATTCATTTCATCCATCATCAGCAAGGACAGAAATTCCTGTAAATAACCCTCTGAAGAACCAGATGGCACAGGCAACTCTCCATAATGCCAGCCAAGCAAACAGCAAACAGCAAGATATATTACCAGTTCCTCWGAGCTGCACTCCTTGTGCTCGCTATCTCAGATCCCAGAACTGCTTAGCAATTCAGTGCATGGGAAGTCAGCCAGGSAAAATAAAATATCTGTGTATTTCTGTACCTTTCCCCCCAACAAAAACAAAAGAGTTCCTGCCTGGGCAGTCAGCACATAGAAACCCCTCATCTTTCTCTCTCCCAAAAGGGGAAAGAATGGAATTGCAGACTTTCTGGTTCAGTTGCAAATGAGGACATGACCTACGCATCTGAGGACAACCTCCACATTCACATTATTACTTTGCTGGAGGAGGWGGACCTTTCTCAATAAACTGAAAATCGTTCCAAGTCAGCCCAAACCATTGCTCATTTGGGAATCTTTCTGTCAAAAGGAAAGTCTGGGTACGTAACGAAGAGCAAGGCAGACACTAATCTCTGCTCTACGATATTGCAAGAGTTCATATAACACTACCAAAGACACAGTATTTACCAAAAATAAGGAAACTGTTTCAGCTCCCTGTTCYGAATCAGACAGCAACACCACCTCAGTTTCACATGCTATACCTGATCACCCTAACCTGAGGGAAGGGCAGTATTCTCACCTAGTCACAGTGTTGCTAAAGTCTCTCGAGACATCTTTACACTCAGGAATAATCCCCACGGAGGAATTTTTCAACTTGTTCAGTCACCAGTTTTTAAAAACACCTTTTGAGAAGCAAGTTGTAAGCAGTGCTTTTTGAGACATAGGGAGAAGTAGCAAAAGTCCTCCAAGCAACTAACATCTGCCTCGGTGATGGATCACAGCCTAATTAATTTTGCCTACTGCTCCTGACTCATTTTCCCCAAATCCTGCTCTCATTGAATTCTCTGGCAAAATCCTTATTTGCACTGGGGACGCAGGGCTCCGTTTGATTCGGTTTGGTTTCCTCACTGCAGGCTGCATTAAACCTCCCTGCAGCTGCTGGATACAGGTCAACACGACTGCTTGGGCCTCCCCAGGCGCAGCCACTGCCCGCCCACACAGACAGGTTTAACCTCTGCTTCTCAGGAGCGCCAAGGATGCCACTGAAATGACTCCACACACTTTCCCTGCAAGGAAGAAAGGTGGAGGATGATTATTATTTGCAACACCGCCGCGTCCGGAGTCTGCAATTAGAGGTCTGAGCCTGCCAGGGCTGCCATGGTCCATATACGCAAGAGTCAGGAAAACAAAATAATCCAGGATCAAAGCAAACAAACAAACAACCCTCCACACACAGGCATTTTTCAGAAGCCTCCGAGAGCCGTGAAGAACCCTTACAAACCAGGGGGAAGAAACAACCCCTCAGCTCGAGTACTCCCAAAAGGTCAGGGGCTTGCGCTTGAGAGCGGCGTGGGATGAGAACAAGGATGCCATGCTCTCCCATCCCAGGCGGTTGCAATGATAAAGAGAAGGACAGTCTATTTTAAGGGGCTTACGGAATTGGCTGCCTGAGTAACAGGGAAGCAGCAGGTGCAAGGCAGAGGGGAGGGAACTGTTGAGGGGAGGAAAGGAAGAAGAAAAAAAAAAAGGGTAAGAAAATAGGAAGTATCTTTGTTAAGAACTCAGTGAGAAACTTCTGTAGTGCAGTCTTCTCAGAGACGTAAGCACATCAGTCCTCTTGGCATTTCCAAGTAAGTTGTACAGAAAAGATGCTGAACTTTTCCTTTTCCCAAAGGATTTTAGCAACATAGCTCACTCTTGCCCCTGTTCAGATATGAAGATGTTCTAGGGAAGAGGGATGTTTGCCATATGGCTCCCACTKAGCCCCTATTTTATGTGGTCTGTAAGAAAATAACCCTGTCCCCATCTAAAGGGAAGAAAAATAGACAGAATGATAGATAGGAAGATAGATAAACCCACCCAGCAAGATAGATTTCAGAGGACACCAGTAAGGCCCAGAAATAGACTGACTTAAAACCCTAGTCCTGAGGTTTCACTCCAGAAATTTTGATTATTCTTTAAAGGAAAACACAGCACATCTGCTTGTGAATCCTTCAAGGAGTTTCAGTAAAAGGGGAACCTACAAACTCCTAACATTGCTTTTGCTTAAAATCAACTCAGTTAAAGAAAAAAAAATTCTTCAATCAATGCCCTTTGATGTCTATTAATCTATTCTCAGCTAACTCATACTTGAGGAAAAAAAAATGATTTAAGGCTTCAAATCCTACAGACAACTCATTCTCCTTCATCACAACCTGCACTATCAAAACTCTCCTACTAAACTGTCCCACTATTTTGAGGTTTGGCAGCTGTGCCAGTTAACTGCATGCAGCCTCACTTACACAGGAGGTGCAGCTGGACCCATTCTTATTTGAAAAAAATATTAAAAGAGCATCACTAAGCCCTTCACCAAGTCAAAGCAAACAACTGATATCAATATACCAGATGCAATCTTCCTGCAGTGCTGCAAGAGTAGCTGGCACTCCTGTTTGGGGAGAAGACACCCTCTGGGATCCTCTCGCAGCCGCGCTGGGCGTAGCTGTTGAAGGTGACGCAGTGGCCGCCTGCGAAGCCCCCGGTGTGCCCGCCGGGATAGTGCGGCGGATTTCTCCCTTTGTACGGTCCGCCCAGGGGCTGCTCGCTCTCAGCGTACGCGGGGCCGCCGAGCCCAGCAGGGCAGCACTCGCTGCTCAACATGAACTGTTCYGGGTTGTTCGGGACTCTCTCCCCGCTCTGGGGCTGCATGGGCTCCACCGGGTTTTGAGGCTGTTCTTGGTTGTACATGAAAGTGTCCTTGTGGGCCCTGGTGACCATCCCGATCACTTCTTCCTTCGCAATGTCAGAACCGGGTGGGGGAGAAGGGCTTTTGATGTTTTCTCGCTCTTGCTTGGGCTTGGAGGAAAGCTCTTCCTGAGGTGCCTGATCTTGAGGCTCTGTCAACGCTTCATTGGGCAAGTGGCTGCTGAACTGACTGTTCATCATGGTTTTCATGGCACTCTGCATTTCAATCAGCATCCTTTGCTTCTCACGTTTAGGAATGCGGCCAAATCTAACAGCTACCGAAGTGGAAAAAAAAGAAGGAAAAAAAAGAAAAAAAAAAAATAAGGTCAGTCTTGAAAGCGTTAGCAGTAGTCAAAGGCACCAAACCAAATGCAAAAAACTGCATCAAAAAAAAGAGAAAAAAAATACTACATTAAAGATTACAGCAGTAATCTTGCCTTCTAAGAGGAAGCATTAACACTGCTGTCATCAATACTACTAGCAGAGGTATTATCACCAAGTCAAGGACGTTCATGGACATAGGACAGGCAGGAGATGCTGTTTACGTACAAAGAGAGGTAGCTCTAAAACACAAACTCTAAATCACTCTCCTTTTTCTTTTTTTCCTCCAAATTTGGCTATGGATTACAGACACAGATGTGTTTAAGTGGCAGGATTTGACGAGTTCAATTAAGTCAGTACAACTTTATGTGCTGACAACTCGACGAATTTAAACACTGTTCTCCTTACATTTTAATGCAAGCCCTACAGGACAGTTCCTCATGGGTACGTTTTCTATCTCACAAAACAATCGATACTGAATGAGACTTACCTTGTCAAGGCAAAGTTATACGAAAAATTTGCCAAGGTCATTTTCTGCTGACAAGGGGAYGGGCATCATATAGCTGCATCACTTTTAACCCTAACCTAGGGAAGCTACAACTACTTTTACCATCCTGTCCAACCGAGGCCTTGCAGGGGCTTATAACCAGTTTCGACTGATGTAATTATGCTCACGCAGTAGCCCATCATTAACATAAACTAAATCTCCTTCATTAGAGCAGGTGCAACCTTATGCACAAACAAGCGCCTAGGGGATGAAATAACTCATATGCATGACAAGAGCCCAGAACAATTATTTCAAGCTTTAACACTCCACCCAGTAAACTAAAAATAGCCCAAGATTCCTAGTTCTTGTGAGGTTAAAAACCCAGAGAAAATTAAAAAGTGAAACACAAGAAAGAACTGTTTGTGACAGACAAGGTTTAGCAGACTAACAAAATATACTTTCAACATTCCAGTAAATAAAAAAAAAGGTCACAAGAAGCAGAAATGGGGCTAGACACTCCACTGAGCCTTTTGCCCCACCTCCACCAAAAGCAAACTAAAAAAGTTATGCATCCTTGCTCCATGCAACAAAAAACTTACTGTACGCTATAAAGGTTGCTCTAAGGCTATTAAAATTGCATGACCTCCAACTGGCCTCATTTAACTCAAAAAAAAAAAAAAAAAAAAAAAAAAAAAAAAAAAAAAAAAAAAAAAAAAAAAAAAAAAAAAAAAAAAAAAAAAAAAGCTGTCCCACTTAGTCCATTCAGCTTGGACAGAACTGCCTTTTATTGAGGAGAGAGAGATGGGGGTGGTAGGAGCAATCTTGTCCCAGGCAGAATACAGCTTAAAATATTAACTCACTAAAACAAGATTAAGTCTCTTGTTACATCTGTGCCCCTACCACGGCGCTGCAGGGCAGCCGCTGCAGTAATCTGCGAGGACACATCTCTGGCGACTATCACGCTACCAGCTCAGGGCAGCCACGGGGCGAGCAGAGAAGCTCAGGGGCACGTGCTCCGACACGGAAGCTGTCCCAGCAATGGGGCCAGCTGCCTTTCCCGAGGCCATGATCCCTCCTGGAGGCGAGCRGCGCTGGGACGGCCGCCGCTCGGCACGGGAACGTACCGTCTCTTGACATTCCAACGGAGAGACACTTCTTGAAACGGCACTGCTGGCATCTGTTCCTGTTCATCCTCATTATAGAGCAGTTGTTATTCTTCAAACACTTCTTATACTGGATGTTTTGCTGAATGCTTCTTCTGAAAAAACCCTGCAAACAGAAAACCCACAACTATTACAGTGTGTGTCAAATCCTGCTGTCAACATTCACCTTTCTGCACATACAGGGAATTTCAGTGTCTTTTAGACTGCTTCAGAGCCATCAGCAAGAGCAAGAAAACACAACTCCTCATGATTTACTACCCCTCAGTACACCATCCATCTGTGTATAAAGCAAACTTCTTATAATTTCTAATATAAAACTAACTAGATTTTAAGTTTTTGCCTGCACAGTCAGCACTTAAAGTGTCTTAAATCACTTTACTTCACCATTGTACTGCCAATTCACAAAATTTGCCCTCAGTCTTCTTAGGCAACCGCAGTTAAAGTTAAAAGCCAAAATCAGATCCTTCAATCTCAGAACTTTGTCAACAAAGTTGACATCCGCTTGCACCATCTGCTTTTTAAAGGTTTTTCACATAACCCTTAAGCTGATAAATGCCTTCCCAGAAAACAACATTTGCAGTGTTACAATAATAGGTGTGTTTTTCCTGATATTAACACACATCTTTCACACAGTAGTTGCATATTGTTCAAAATGTCTTCAAGTTGTTTAACAGAAAAGCATACCCATGATTTTTCATCAGCCATTACCCCTTTTGCCTTACTGACACGAGGGAACCTGAGCATTTCAGCAGCAGGAAGGTGAGCAGAAACATGGCTCACCTTACAGCCCTCACAGGCGTGAACACCATAATGAAATCCTGAAGCGACATCTCCACAGACTTTGCATAGAAGAACCATGCCATTAAACTCTAGAATTAGAACAGAGAAGTCAAGAATACAGAAAATCAGTGACAGCTGCAGGAACATGCTTCCAGCCTTTCACTGTGACTAAAAGCAAAACATATAACTTCGACATTAATTTAAAAAAAAAAAAAAAAAAAAAAGTGGCACAGAAGCAGAAAAGAGAACATATAAAAACCCTGAACAGTTCAGAAGGTAGGAGTTTAAGGCAAGGGGAAAAAAATAAACAAACACAGCAGAAGAGGGAGAGAACATGTATTCACTGGGCTTTCAATTACTATAGCACTGTGCTCAATAGCAGGAAAGGAAAGTGTGCTTAAATTTACATACTTTTAAAAGGATCATTTAGGTAACTAGGTCAAAGTTTGGTCTCAATCAGGTTTTTTTTTCCATCAGGAAAAGGAAGTCCACAAAGGCTGTGGTTTCCCTAGCCAATAACAAGCATCTTTTTCATAAAAAAAACAGAAATATGAAACAACGCTCAACTTTATCATGTATGGCAAGCAAGCCATAGTGCTGATCTAAGACAGGTCCTGCTGATGCTGATGGAAATTTTATCAGCAATTTTAGTGGCCTTGAAGTTAGCTTAAAACTGAGCAACAGCAACGACTGGAAGTACTCCAGCAGGCTGTTTGTTGATGTGCCTGCCCCTTCAACTGTTGAAAAATGTATTTATTGTTGAAAAATGTATTTTATGTGCAAGTGCGTGCATGTATATGCTCACAGGCACAATTTGATTTTTGACACCTCTCCATAAAAAAACCCTGAAGGAAAATACTGACTGCTACTATTTTTGTTTGATATCATCTTTCAAATCTAGCTCTTTTAATTGGTATTTGGATTTTTTTTCAAATCAATTTTCACTAGTGATAATCTGAAGTAAAGTAGGACTGTGTCTATSGACTGCTTGAAACTGGTAACAATGGGACCTTCACATACTGGCATCAGYGTGGCAGTACCATCCTGTACGGTATGTGTGGTAATATGTAAAATGCACAAAAAATAAAAARTGAGGCTTGGCTATGGGCCCAGAAAGGCGGCTCCTCATAAGACCTGGCTGTAACACATGCACAGCCGCAAGCTGCAGGAATGGAAGGGGGAGGCAGTGGTTTCGGGAGCTGGCCCCACACGTACTTGTGACTCCATTATGGCCCTTTGTCAAACCAGCAACACTTGACTGGTTCGTTTTAACAGGCTCCTCCAGCCGGTCGCTCTTGGGTGCCGCATCGGAGCCCTCGCTGCCCCGACTGCTGCAGCTGCTTTCCGAGGAGGAGCTGTTTGGAGAGGACGGCACAGGCGAAGAGGAGGACTGGAAACCGCTGTCTGAGCTCTCGCTGTGACATGAGGCTGGGCTGGATGCCGAGCTCGAAGAGCTGATGTAAGCTATCACACCCCCTAAGGCAGGAGAAAAAAGGCAGCGTGTAGTGACATAACAAGCAGACATACACCCCTGCCACGTGAGCCACGCGATGACCCGGCATCGCCAGACCCGGCGCCCATGTGCGCCTGGATGCGCTCCTTTCCATCCTGCCCTCCAGCTCCCTTCTCTCCGTGACGTTTCCAAGAATGACCCCATGTGCCCCATGCCACTTCTGCCATCTTATCAGCCTCCTCCAGCTGCCGATGAGATTGAACAGGAGGAGAGGCTCAAAGGACGGAACAACAAACCGCGGGGCTGACAGGATGGGGTGGAAGGAAGGGTGCAGGGCAGGGGGGCTCCGCAGGGCCCACAGAGATGCCCAGAAGGACGCAAGGAAAAGGGAGAGGCGGCATCTCCGCGTGTGCTCAGCCCACCCACTGCCAGCTGCCCTGCTGCAGCAGGCAGCATTTGCCCGGTAGCGTTTCCGACCGCTGGAGCTGAACCCTAGCTGCCAGGGCTGCTGCTCACGAGGCGCCGCAGAACAGAGCCAGCTCCCAGCCCCGCGCGCTCCAGACCCCTCGCCTGAAACAGCTTCTCGTCCTCCGGCAGCCACGGGAGCAGCCCTTGTTTGTCCAGCTTATAAGCGAGAGAAACTACTTTCATTCCACTTCTGAGGCTTGTTATTTCAAAAGCGACCATAAAAGTGTTTAATACAACAAAAACACGTAATGCAAGAAGAATTAACCAGCAAAGGCCATGCAGCTACTTAAACTAAGGCATACCCTGTATCTTCCCTGTTCCACACACACTTCACTCTGGAAAATCTCTTCCCATGTGACGCATTATTTCGAAAAAAAGGAATTCCACACATTGGAAAGACTTAAAAAACTTAAAAATGGCAACACACTGGCTTGCTTTGGAGTTGAAAAGTGCTGGTGTCAGAATCCTTAACCAACTGATTAAGTCGGCATGGCAGGTTTGGGGTCATAGCCCCTTGTATTAATTATAGCTTGCTCACAGATAAAGGTTGTTATTCTGATCTAATAGACAGTGGTGTTATATAACCCCTAGAACAACACTGAAATACCAGTGCCTGCAAGCAAAAAAATAAGATCGGAGGAAAAAAATACCCACTTATAAGTTTTCTTCCATTTATCAGCTATAGAGACCCYCTTAGCACTTCACAGGAGCTTCACTCAGCTCACTTTGCTCCTTAAGATTTCCTTCTTTTTCTGGAGGGCCAAAGAAACCCTCCCCGGTGCTCCCAGGGCAAACGCGGGGCGGGCGCCTTGGAGCAGCCCCTCTGAGGCCGGCGTCGCACCAAGCGCTCACTGGGCGAGCTGCTCTCCRCACTGCCCAGCGTCAGCACCTCCTGGCAGGAGGCTTTCCCGCACGGGTGCTCCGAAAGCCTCCACACGACCCAACATYCACCCGGATCGGGGTCTCAGTACCACGTGGGCGGGAGCTGGAGGAGCTGCAGTGGACAYGCAGGTCAGAGCAAGGCGGAAAAGGCAAAACCCAGTGCCAGAAGGAGCAGCAGGGGCGTCAAGTGTCACCGACTTTCAAGGTCCAAATACTCCCTGGTTTTAGACGTCTCTGCCAGGCACCAGATCAAAGCTCAGAGGTCGCCAGGACCCAGGAAGGAACTGGATTTCCCGGCCAGCGCCCTCCCTATCTGTAAACGGGCAGGGAACAACACACAAACACATCCCACGAGGCTTTCGGGGAAGTCCACGTTTCTCCACGCTGGCACCTTGCCCCAGTATCTTTAAACCTTGGGCAATAAAAGGGGATGCTCTTTTCCCTTAACGCTAACACAAACACCATGGGAGAGATGGCTAAGACGGTGCTTTTTATACAGGATCTGTTTTCCCCACTTCTTTTTCGAAAGCCTTAAGAGCCACCGGACAGACAAGCTGCTCCTGCGGCTCTGAGATTTTGCCAGTCTTCTCTGTGCCACATTAAATAATTTTGCTATTTGTAGGAATTGTATTAATAGCTCTCCCTGAATCCTTTCTTGATTAAAGGTTGAAACCTACATTCCAGAAAAGTAGCACAGAGCATCAACCATATAGCAGGAAATTGCAGCCACACAACGTTTCCCCCCCTTCCATGCAACTTTCCTGAAGGAAAAGACCCTGATACTACACGGGGAGGTCAGCCATGGATCTACAAATTTATCAAAATCTGCAGAGCGAGTCTAGTGAAATGAGCTAAAAGAAGTGATTTCATGTTATGCCAAATGTGCAAACACATTTTAAGGAGATGCATAAGGAATTCAGCATCTTAGAAATTCCACATCCTTAGGTGATTCAGTGACACAAGGGGCTAGGGGGCATTACAGGAAGCACGAGAATCTGCAGCTATTTATTTCCGAGAGAGATCTGAAAAATCCTAACAATGCAGAGACACTGTGATAAAGAGATTAATCAGTTCTTCTTCCCATTTCGTTCCAACTGCAACCACGCTTCTGCAGCACTGCTTCCCTCTGCCCAAAAAAATCACATTTGCTACCCTCACTAAGGGGAGAAGACAGAAAAGGACGGATCATGAGAATTTTTTCTTTACTTTATTCCTATTTTCTGTGGCTAAACACCCAGACGACCGCGGGCGCCCCCGGAAAGGAGGACACAGCCGCAGCGCCAAGGAAACACCCTGCATAGAGCACATTTATTCCAGGACACAGGCAAAGGGGGGGGGGGGGGGGGGGGGGGTAGAGAGGAATGCGGGACACGCAGCCAAAAGAGCAGGATGAAGCGGCTGCCTTCCCGCTCGGCCTCCTCTCAGATTACACTGCATTCGGTTAAAAAATAATAGAAATAAAATAAAAATAACAGTAAAACTCTGCCCTCGGCCGCCCGCGGCGGCGGGCACCCCCGTCCCCGTTACACAACGCGGAGGCTCCGCGAAGGGGAAAGGCAGGGGGGGAAGGGGGAGGGCGCCCACACACCGGGTCGCCTCCCGCCCCCGCGCACCGGGCCCGTCCACGTGAGGGGCGCCCTAACGCGGCGCGCGCACATGGCGGCCCCCGTGCGCTCCCCGCGCCAACGGCCGCCGCAGCGCAACCCCCCCCCGCCAACGGCCGCCGCCCTCCGCCAACGGCC